CATGTCGAAACGCATCGGCTAAAACCTGAGTATAGTGTTCCTCTTGTCTTTTTATTCATATATATATATATATATATATATATATATATATATATATATATAGTAGGATTCACCCTCTATAAGGCCCAGGAGAAGAAAGTTAGTTGGGTAAGAGGCAGTTTATGCCGATAGTAGGAGAAGGTAACGGTTAACTCTAGACTTGAACAAGTTAAGATTGTAGTGATCAGGGAAGCACCCTCTTGGGAGTCTGTTCTTCAGAGCAGTGGTTCATGGAGAGTATGAGGTTATTTTTACTTTTGTCACAATTGTGATTTCTCATAATGCATCCAAAACGAGACTACTGTCATTTACTCACCATAGAGAAACGTCCCTGCCTCCTATCAATATGGTTGATGCTCAACTCGACGAGAGCCTCACTCTGCGCCTTCCTGGTCTCATGATTTCCTCTGACCTGAGGTGGAACAATGAATCAATAGCTTCATCTACCGCAAGGAAAATTGTTTCTCTGTGTCACGCCAGAAATTTTTTCTCGCCTGAGTCCATTTTTAACATGTACGAATCTACCATTCGTCCATGCTTGGAATGATGTTGCCATATATGGTCTGGTGCCCTCGCTGTTCATCTTGAGGTTCTTGACAAAATCTAAAGACGGACGTACAATGTGTTCGGTCCTGGCTTTGGGTCTCGACTCCAGTCACTTTCTCACCGGCGTGATATGGCTTCCCTCTGTCTTTTTTATAAATATTTTCATGTTATCTGCTCTAAATGGTGCCCCGACTGCATAAATTTAAGCGTGCTACTACGTTGACATCTCCGTCTCACCCTTTCACTGTCGAAACAGTTAAATGTAACCGCCTCTTCTATTCCAACAGCTTCTTCTCTCGCACTTCCCAACAGTGAAACTCCCTTCCTCTTACTTGCTTCCCTGATAACTATCTTCAAAAATGTAAATATAATGTCAATCGACATCTTCTGATGCCTTGATACTGTTCTTTTTATCGTTTCCTGACTCCCCACTATACCTTAATTTCACTCTCTGTTGCCCCTTGGGCAATAGTGGCACTCCCGTCTTCTTGGGGTGAAATGCTTAAATAAAATAAAATAAAAATTATTTTTTTTTAACTCTTTACTGTAGATTGGATTCAAATCCTTGTTCAAAAAAATTAGCAATTATGTAGAAAGTCTGTTTTTATCATCGAAGGTTTAAAATGTTAAAATACTGTATTTCCCCATGTATAATACGCCTCCATCCCTAATACGCCCACCTACAATTGCGCTGAAAGTAAGTTAAAATGCTTCTACTCATGCATAATACGCACCCCTTGTTTGGTAATCAAACCCTATAAATTGTACCTCTCCAATTTCATTACGACCAGCGTCTCCTACTCTTATGAAGAAAAAATGGTTTTAAACGTAGAATAATATTATTCTAATTTAGATTCATGATAATTCTTATTTTATTTCACGGCAATTTTTAAAAGATTTTTTGTATCTGTGCATAATACGCGCCCCTAATTTGGCTTATTATTTTTTTTAGAGAAAATGCTTATTATACATGATGGATTACAGTATATATATATATATATATATATATATATATATATATATATATATATATATATATAGATAGAGAGAGAGAGAGAGAAAGAGAGAGAAATAGATAGATAGATAATAGATAGATAGATAGATATAAAAAGGTACATAAAATACATACACGCACGTACACACACGTACATATATATATATATATATATATATATATATATATATATATATATATATATATATATATATATATATATATATATAAAATTTCAGTGATTTAACCAGTAGAAAGACAATATTTATGAATAAAAATGACAATAGGAAAACTGGTAATTGCTGACGCGTTTCGTCCAATATGGACTTTATCAAAGAAAACTACGAAAAAAAAAAAAAGTCCACATTGGACGAAATGCGTCAGCAATTACCAGTTTTCCTATTGTCATTTTTATTCATATATATATATATTCGATTGATGTATATTATTCTTTGTTCTTCTTAACCTCAATCTGTCCTGTGGGTATCAGATTTTTTAGCCTTCTTTCCTCATTATATGCATGATAAATTACAATATGGTACGCCTCGTCTCTCCTTAAACTCGGAACGTCATAAATTATACTAACATTGATTATATATTTATATATATATATGTAAATTTTTACTTAAACTTAAACGTTGTTTTTATTGGATACCCATCTAATGAGTAGATGCTCATTACGACCATCGTCTCTTATTCTTATGAAGTAGAAATGGTTTTAAACATAGAATAATATTATTCTAATTTAGATTTATGAAAATTCTTATTTTATTTCACGGCAATTTTTAAAAGATTTTTTGTATCTGTGCATAATACGCACCCCTGATTTTGCTTATTACTTTTTAGAAAAAAAATGCGTATTGTACATGGGGAATTACGGTAATTATTTATTGGTCAGATACTTACGTGCTAAATAGAAGATATTCTATTGTAAGTACATTTCTGGACTTACGCCATTAAGTCAATTTAACTTTTTTGTCCTTCGACACTGACTGCTCCCGATATTTGATATCCATTTTGTTTTTAGTTCTGCCATTGATAGTCCTCAAGAGATGTGGTTTCTGCTATCTGGTACAGCTCTTTCTTTGAGATTAACAGGATGGAACCATCGTACACATACATATAGAATTTGACGGAGCCGTTTTCCAGGACATTTGATCTCCTTACGCGGTTGCGTTTAATGGCCTACACGTTCGCCTGATCTCTTCCCATGTGATTACTTTCTCTGGGGTTATCTGAAAGCCGATGTTTACAAATATCGACGAATAGCAATTGAGAAATTATAAGCTGCTATTCGCCAAACAATAGCAAAACTACGGCTAAAAATCGTCATCTTCTTCTTTATGTGCAGCGTCCCCCTCAGGACGTAGGCGATCATAGCTCTCCATATTTTCTTGTCCCTTGTAGCTCTTAATAAATGTTGTGTTTTCGTTATTTTACCTAAACTCAGTTACGCCATCATCTTCTTACTCATGCTCATCAAGTATGTTATCGACTGTTTTCCTTTGTTCTTCTTAACCTCAATCTGTCCTGAGGGTATCAGATTTTTTAGCCTTCTTTCCTCATTATGTGCATGATAAATTACAATATGGTACACCTCGTCACTCCTTAAAATCAGAACGTCATAAACTATACTAAAATTGATTAACAAACCAAATGCAAATATATATATATATATATATATATATATATATATATATATATATATATATATTATTATTATTATTATTATTATTATTATAATATAATAAAAAAACAAACACATGACGTGATATTTATTTCGTTAAGGTCAGTAAAAATGGCTTCAACTCTTCAGACTATTTAACACCTTTTAATGACAATTCCAATATCATTTAAATCCAAACCCCCGGAAGAGCGAAAATCTTACCAGGAAACTTCGAAGTCGGGGTAAAATTGATATTTAAAAGTATTTTTTTTATATAGTATTAACGCTCTATTTTTAATATTATTTCAATACTTTTAATATTGTGCACTATCTATAAAAATATCTGCTGTTTCTTATTCTTAAATCTTATACATACATACATACATACATACATATATATATATATATATATATATATATATATATATATATATATATACGAACATTGCTTTGGATGAAAAGCAAGGAAATAACATGAAAAGAAATACTAGACAACAATTAATAGTAATGACGAGACAGATTTCTCCCGTAACAGGTTGCCATTTCTTTCTGCGTTAGACCAGTTGCCATCCAAGGTTATAGAACCCAGTCTGTCCCGCTATTTACCCATAGCTGCGGCAAAGAAGAGGATTCACACCTTTCCCAAGGGTATTAGCACGTAAGTGAGTGTAATGGATTCGAGTGGAATTCGAACTCAGCTCTCCGATTCCTCAATCCGAGCCGCTCTCCATTAGCAAATTTAAAATATTCTTGTATTATTTTTCTTTTATTTAAAGTGACTTAAAACATATAAAAGTCCATTTTTATGGTAAAAATTGTCAGAATTGTACATCTTCATTGTAAAAATCAAACGCAAAAACATGCGTAGGTTTTGTTCTTTGTTAGGAACTGCGGTTTGGGTCTTAAAAGTGGCTTATGCTAAGTCTGGGGCCATCATCACAGTTCTGTTTTTAAAAAATGTTTTAAACATTATATTTATGTCTTGTTACACATATTTTATACAGTATTTTCAATCTATTTTTGATCTATGCGTAACTAAAAACGGTTATTAAACGTATGAAAGAAAAGTTACGCTAAGTGTATGGTCACCAATACTATTTGTCAAAAATGTTTTAAAAAGGGTCTGAAATGTTTCTAAAGTGTTTAGGATGAAAGTTTAAGTTATAGGGGATTTTAGCAATCAAAATAGGTACTTATAAGCACTTTTAATGGGGTTGCAAGTATCCGCGGATTCTATCTATTCACAGACGGTTCTGGTCCCTAACCCTCGCGAATACGGGGGACTTACTGTAATTCAATGCTTTATCTAAGAAATTCAGATAATTTTAGAATACTACGACTTGGTGTAACTGCAAAAGAATTAAGATTAAAGAAATACTAATATTAAATGACGATGATTAATATTACTTTTATTGAATGAATTCGAATGAGTTACATTTTCAATCGTTTTTAGCTTTTTATCTAAAGAAATAATCAAGGCACCAAAAGTTATTTTGGGGGAAATTGGTATATTTCTAGTCTTCCAAAGTCGAGGTTTTGTATTGATGACACATTTTCATGAAGAACTTTTTCGAAATTCGTCATAGATTCAACTAGAACGTCTTAAAAGTGATAAAATTAGATTCAAGTAAAACGACTCAAAAGAGATAAAATTAGATCCCATATTTATTCTCGAATTTATTATCGGCCATTTAATGCGAAACAAGCTCGTATCTATAAAAACGGCCGTCGGAGAAAGCGGACGGAAGTGTGTATATGCGCATGTCAGAAGATCGTATTCGTCTGCCGGCCATTTTTGACATCGCCTAAAAGCATGAACAGTTAAAACGTTGCCGAAAATATCAGAAATACACACATTAATCGAGGAAGACGCGAGCTTTTTTCTCCCCCTCTTTCAACGCTACTACGTGTAATATTTCATCTATCAAAATAAAAACACTTTGTCTGCTTGGCTGTAAGCGACGCTATCCCAAAACTGGAAACACGAAAAAGGTCAGACTCCAAGATTGGCTGATAAGGAACTTGAGGCTTACCAAACGAAATCTTTGATTTTTGTTCGGATATATTCTTGCTTTGAAACATTTCAACTTGATTTCTTTTTGTTTTGTGCTAAAAATAATGATCTAAAAGAACTGAAATTTATATACCGTAATTCCCCATGCATAATACGCAATTTTTCTAAAAATCTGGGGTGCGTATTATGCACAGCTACAAAAAATATTTTAAAAATTGCCGTAAAATAAAAAAATTATCATAAAACTCAATTAGAATAATATTATTCTGTGTTTAAAACCATTTTAAAAATTTTCTTCCCGTCTTTCGTTTTTCTTTCATTTTTCGTTCCTTTTGATTTGCTTTTTCTTTCCTTCATCTTTCGTTCTCCTTTCTTTCTTTCTTTCTTTCCCTTTTCGTTCCTTCTTCTTTGCTTTGTCTTTCCTTCTTGTTTCCTTTTTCGTTCCTTTTCCTTTAGCTTTTCTTTCCTTTTTCTTTCCTTCTTTCTTTTTCTTACCTTTTTTTCACTCTTCTTTGCTTTTTCTTTTTTATCTTTTTCTTTCATTCACCTTTCCTTCTTCTTTCCTATTTTTCCTTCATCTTTCCCTTTCCTTCATCTTTTCCTTCTTCTTTTTTCCTTTCCTTCTTTCTTTCCTTTTTCTTTCATTTTTCGTTCCTTCTTCTTTGCTTTTTCTTTCCTTCATCTTTCGTTCTGCTTTCCTTCTTCTTTCTTTCTTTCTTTCTTTCTTTCTTTCCTTCTTTCCATTTTCGTTCCTTCTTCTTTACTTTGTCTTTCCTTCTTGTTTCCTTTTTCGTTCCTTCTCCTTTAACTTTTCTTTCCTTTTTTTTCTTTTTGCTTTCCTTCTTTCTTTTTGCTTTCCTTTTTCTTTTCTTCTCTTTTCTTTTTCTCTTTTTCTTTCATTCTATTTTCCTTCTTCTTTCCTTTTTCTTTCCTTTTTCTTTCTTTTTATTTCTTCTTCTTTCCTTTTTTTCTTTCTCATTTCTTCCTTTTTTACTTTCCTTTTCATTTTTCACTCCTTTCCTTCTTCTTTCTTTCTTTCTTTCTTTCTTTCTTTCTTTCTTTAGTGCAGGAGTTGAATATATTTATAAAGCCAAATTTGTTATTCCTTCAACATTCCAGACGATAAAAGAAAAAGAAACAAAAGTAAAATTAAAAATTGAAATGAAAAAAAAAAAAAAGAAACTGAAAAAAAAAATGAATAAAAAATAAAAAAAAGACAGTGGAAGGAATCAAATAGAAATAAAAGAAAGAGGAATAAAGAATTAAAAGAAAAAGAAAAAAAGGTTGCAAAAAGGAAGAAAAATGGAGATAGAAAATAATTAAGGAAAAGAAAAAAGAAAAGAACGAAAAAGAAAAACAAAGAAATGAAATACCGAGGAAAAAGAAAAGGAAGAAAAAGAAATAATATGAAAAAAATGAAGAAGAATTCAAGTGAAAAAAAGAAGGAAACAAAAAAATATGAAAGAAAAAATGAACAATTGAAGGAAGGAATAACAAAGAAAAAGAAAGTGGAAGAAAAATAAAGAAAAAAGAAAGAAAGAGAAAAGTTGGTTCTCTGTGTCATACCAGAAAGTTTTTCACGTCTGAGTCCATTCTTCAAATCTATAAATCAACCATTTGCCCTTCCATGGAATACTGCTGTCATATATGGTCTGGTGCTCCCGCTGTACGTCTCGAGGTCCTCAACAAAATCCAGAGACGCATATACAATGTGATTGGTCCTGATCTGGCATCTCGTCTACAGTCGCACTTTCACAGACGTGCCGTCGCTTCCCTCTGTCTTTTCTACAAATACTTTCACGGTAACTGCTCCGACGAGCTACTTTCGCTAGTTCCCAAACTGCATGAAATTAAGCGTGCTACTAGGCTGGCATCTCAGCCCCACCTCACTCTCGAAACGGTTAAATGCAGCCATCTCTTCTACTGCAATAGCTTCATGTTTCGCCCTTCCCGACAGTGGAACTCCCTTCCTCTTACTTACTTCCCTCACAGTTATAGTTTTCAAATATTCAAATTTAATGTCAATCGGCATCTTTTGATGCCTTGATCTAATTCCCTGTCCTTCTCTTTATTCTTTCCTCAATCACGTCTCTTTATTCTTGCCCCACTCTCTGTAACCCCTTGCGTTCTAGTGGCACTCCCGCCTTGCTTGGGGTGAAATGCTTTGAAAAAAAAAAAACAGGAAGGAATATTAAGAATTGATACAAAAAAATAAATAAATAAAAAGAAGAAGAAAAAAATGAAGGGAAAAGGAAAAGGAGGAAGAAGTGAAGTAAGTAGAAAGAAAAAATGAAATTGAAAGAAAGAAAGAAAAGGAAAAGAAGCTAGAAAAAAAAACGAAGGAAACAGAACGAGAAAGAAAGAAGGGGAATGAAAGGAAAAACAACGAAACAAAAAATGAAAGAAAAAGAAAAAAAAATTAACAATTGAAAGAATAGAAAACAAAGAAAAAGAAGGTTGAAGAAATCTAGGAAAAAGAAAGAAAAAAGAAGGAAGAAAAAGCAAGAATTAAAGAAAAGGAAAAAGACTAAGAGACTGGAAAACATTAAAAAAAAAAAGAAAAAAGAAGAAAGAACCAATGAAGGAAAACGAAATAAAATAAAAGAAAAAATTGAATGAAAGAAAAAGAAACATTAAGAAATGAATGAAAAAGAAAAAAATTAAGAAAAATAAAAAAAATATAAAATAAATGAAGAAAGAAAGAAAATAAATGACATAACGTAAAAAAAAACAAGAAAGAAATTTTTTTTTAAAAAAGTCGCCATTGGTGAAATATTTACAAATAGAGAATCGAAATAAGCAGAAAGCGTTTGCTTACATTCTTAAATCTCGTCCCTTGATGTCTGCAAACACGTAATATCGTGGGAGTTTACATGGCCGGTAGGGGGCTCTTTTTGTCAGAGAAAGAAAATGTCGGCAGAAGGCGATAAACAAAGAAGTGGCGAAGATAAAATGATCCTTGTGGCTCGATTGTCGTCTGCAAAACGAAACTGAGGCGGTACATGCTAGGACTTGATGTCGTCTGTTGTCGTCTGTTCATTAATGAACTTGACAGTGGGGTTCGTCTGTCGGGTACCTGCTGGTTTTTAGGAAACACCCGAACCTAATTAAAATGAATTTACAATGTTACATTTTATTTTAAACTTTTTTTTCGCTTTTTTTTTTTTTTTTTTTCTGTTTTTCTTCATTTTCTTTTATTTTTATTTTACTTTTTCCCAGTCCGTTCGGCTGAAGGTTTAACAGTGGAGATAGAAGGTTGTTTTTTAACGATCACGCCCATGTATCTGTGCACAATAAGTAATACTAAAAAGAAGGAAAATGAAACACTTAAGATAGCAATATGTTTTTACAAGGCTTTTGGTATGCTGAACTATAAAATGAGTGCATAAGCACTGCGTAATAAGCCAGGGTCAAACGAATGCGAACCGCATAGGAAAGTTAGTCAAATGAGCCACATAACAAAACCTATCATCCGAATTCTGTCGAATAAAGCTTGCAGCATAATCAAACCGGAAAAGAACAGTTCGGCTTCTTTGAAGACACTCGAACAAGGAATGTAATTTATTTATGCCCAGGATGAAATCAGATAGAGCAATAAAAAGGTAAGTTACCTAAAGGGTGCGATGGATAAATTGTCGCATAACTGTAGCGAAAATGAACACAACACCGTCATCTCGTTTTAACAGATATAATGCATGCGATCGATAAATTGTCGTCGAAATGGCGTCAAAATGAAAAACAGCATTGATATCTCATTTTAACAGATATTCAGGCGCGATGGATAAACTCCCGCCAAAATTAAACAAAAATTAAAAATAACACTGACAGCTCCTTAACAGACATACACTGTGCGATGTCTAAATTGTCGCTTTAAAGCCGCAAAAATGAAAACAACGCTGGCATCTCATTTTAACAGATACACGCTGTGCGATGTCTAAATTGTCGCCTAAAAGACGCGAAAATGAAAATAAAGCTGACATCTCATTTTAACAGATATAATGGGTGCGATCGATAAATTGTCGTCGAAATGGCGCCAAAATGAAAATAACATTGGTATCTCATTTTAACAGATATACAGGATGCAATGGATGAATTGTCGTCTAAATTAAGCAAAAATAAAAAAAAATAACAAACATCTCATTTTAACAGATATATTTACCAAAATATCTTCAAATAAGGAACAGTAAATTAAGTCAATAAAATCGTGATTGGCTTCAACCACAGCCTCTAGACGACTTTGGAGTCTCCTGCATCTCTTCTGGACGGTCTCCTTGTTTAAGTTAGTGATTGCTGCCATAATGCTTGCCTTCGGTTCACCTTTAGTGTTACAAGGAGATTTATTTGTCTCTCGCTCAACAGGAATCGCACGTCTGGGAAGTTAAGTGGCCAGATGTAAGTGGTGATGTGGTCGGAGAAGTTGTCGGATAACCATGACTAGTTTCTCCTGCTTAAGTGGTATGATGCAGAGTTCCATTGCCAGACATAGAGTCTTCCATCACCCACCCTCTTGACCAAGGCCAGCACTACCTCCTCAAGGTACTTGATGAAGGCCTCCGTGAGAGTCTGCGGCATAACGAATAGTCCGAATAATGTAAATATTGTATAAAATACCTCATCTCAGAAATATAAACAGATACTGAAAGGCCGAAACGTTGTGATAAATATGGCAACAAAGATGAGGACAATAGTCCGAATAATGTAAATAGTGTACATAATACCTCATCTCAGAAATATAGACAGATACTGAAAGGCCGAAACGTTGATAAATATGGCAACAAAGATGAGGATAATAGTCCGAATAATGTAAATAGTGTACATAATACTTCATCTCAGAAATATAGACAGATACTTCTTCCTCCAGCAGGACAGACCAGGTTCTATAGCCATTGATGATACCTGTTCTACCGCAAAAAGAAATGACAATCTACTGTAGGAAAAAAAACTGCCTCGTCAGTCATGTATCGAAATACAGTGATGCATGGCACATAACTGGCTGAATAGATGGCTGCTCGGAGTGAGGAATCGGAGAGCCGAGTTCGAATTCCAGTCGAATCCACTACATTCACTTATGTGCTAATACAATTGGGAAAGGTATGAATCATGATCGTATGGCACATAAGTGACTGAATGAATATGAATAAGGGGTGTATCGTCAGTGGTAGTACTTTTGTAGTGAAGCGGTCGACCCTGTTTGACTCGGCTGAATTAGGGTGCCTGCATCCATCTGTCACATGGACACTGTTCTCTAAGAAGTCCCATGGTCAACGGCATCGACATATCGATGAGGGTTTTCCAATTTGATCGTTGAAGGGGAACGCCTCTCGCCAACCCATCTGCGCCAAGCGGCCATCGGCCAGTCGCTAGCCTGGACATTGGAGCAGTGCTTCAGAGGTCAACGGCTTTACCAGTGGGTGGGGAAAATTCTCAGAGGAGTAAACTCAGCATCGCCGGCGAGCATTTGCATTATTCTGCCTTGAATGTCACCATGTACCCCAATTGTGAAATGGATGGGAGTGGTGACCACTTTTAATCTATGGTAATGAATATCAGAGGAGACATGGTGGAGTAATGGATAGCGGCTCGGATTGAGGAATCGGAGAGCCAAGTTCGAATTCCAGCCGAATCCATTACATTCACTTACGTGCTAATACCAACATATGAATCCTCTTCTTCTCTCCCCAGCTATAGACCAGGTTCTATAGCCTTGGATGCCAACTGGTCTACCGCAGAAAGAAATGGCAACCTACTGCGGGAAATAAATCTGCCTCGTCCGTCATGTATCGAAAGATACATGATCGCCTAAGCGTGTATCACGCATGGCACATAACTGATTGAATGAATATGAATAAGGAGGTGTATCGTTAATGGTAGTAACTTTGTAGCGAAGAATTCGGCCCTGTTTTACTCGGATGAATTAGGTCGCGGAGCTGCAATGGTCCACAGCCTGCATCCAACTCTCATACGTGGCTCCAAGTCAACGGCATCGATCTATCGGTTAAACTGTGTGATGGTAAAAAACAGAAGGGTTTTCCGACCCGATCGGTGAAGAGGAACGCCTCTCACC